TTTTTGAGTTCTGCTTTTTAAATATCATTTGTAAAAATGGGTCGTGGGTTGGGTCGGGTCGGGTTGGGTTGAAAAGTTGCATTTTCAGGCGGGTTGGGTTGGGATGGGTTGAGTTGAGTGATGGGTTGGGTTGGGTCAGTAAAAATGGACCCATGTCCACTTCTGAGCCATGATGGTTGTTTGTTGTCTTAAAGTTTAATTTTAATGTATTCCATCCACAAATGTAATTTTTTATAGATGTTTAAATTATTCTTCAAATGATTTGTGAAGATTTTGTGACACTGCCCTTCGGTTTTTAATTAGTTTCTCTTACAGAGTTTGAATCTGCGCAGAGTCCTTCACCCCTTAAAACCGCCGACGCATACGAACATGCATGCATACAACTTGAAGGAAGATAACACGGAAACAATTAATTGCCCCCTACTATCTAGATTAATAATTCACAAAAATATCTTAAATAAATATTTTTCTAAAAGTTGTCTTTGGCTATTCACAAACCAATATAAATATATATATAAACAAATAAAATATAAAGATATATCGCATCCTCCACTTTTTAAAAGTAAGTCTGTGGGTTTTATTGAGTTGAAAAATTTTATTTAAAATGCAATTCAAGTTTGTTGTGCAATGACTGAGCTAATTATCAAATTAGTTAAGTTATTGCTATGAAATGCATCAGTGTGTCTACCTGCGAGACTTCGTTAAAAACTGCAGGATTAAACAACACATGAACTTTAACGTCTTGAACAACTACCGATTAGGCTCAGTAACATGAAGCACCACGAAGACAACAACACAACCACATCCAACATAACTACCTCAACAACAGTCCATACGAATTCAAATATAACAACCCACGCGTCAACTCAAGCAACCTGCGACTCCTCTTTTATTTACAGGGGAAATGCGCTCAACAACTCATCTTCATTTATGTTTTCGATGCATTTTATGCAAAATTTGACAGAAAAACAATTGTTCAAAGTTTACTCTCACGAAGAATCTTTTATGAATTTAAAAAAAAATGAAGGCAGGCTATCTTCAATTTTAGCAGGCATCAATGAAGGTTCGATCTTGTTTTCAAATATTTGGGAATGAAAATTGCCTAGCTTACTCTTTAGTTGCTTATGCATACAACACGCGAAACAGCAAATGACTAATTTTGAAGCAACTCATGAGAGAACAAACGATGGCACGATACAACACGTCGTCATCTCCTCGTGCAATCATTTCAGAATGTGACAAAACAGCGTTTATAACTAAACGAGCAAGAGGACATACGTGACTGCAACATCGCCATAACAGCCCAACAACGCTACCACACAAGATAAAAACACCCCAATGTCACCACATCACATCATCACTATGCCACAACATCTTAATGTCACAAGACAAGAATTGTATATGATAATTTAATTGGACGCCAGGAGCACGTTGTTGCTAATTAAGGAATAATAAGTCTTGGAGACGGAGTTTAGTTTCATCAAAGATGTCGGCAAAATTTCTAACATTTTTGTAACCAACGTAACATGTTTATATAATAGAATAACATTACAACACAATGACCTAACATTTTCCCAACATAACATAAAGTAACGGAACGAACTTGTCACACTCTAAAAACTTTTAATTATTCTTTGAAAAAATCAGAATCGGCAGAGACAGAATCTGTTACAACGTGCAAGACAATAATTTGAAAAATAAATAATGGAGTAAGAAAGTTTAAACATTGGAATTAAAATAGAATAAAGTATTGCTATCCAGCAAGCGAAGGAAGAGCAACAAAAAAGAAGGTCCCGTCGTTACCTCCTTAAAAATATTCATACGCTGTGGAAATCAATTATTTTTTGTCCAGCTATTGCTACATTGAAAACTGATGACATCATAAACATATGAAGCAGTCCATATTGACGTTTCAATCCTTACGCGGCTGAGCACCAGCATTCTGGAATATGAATCGTTATGCAGTGATCCTGGAGGTCTGCGAAGCCTTCCTCCTTCCTGAGAAAAACAACGAAACACAAATCACTGGAATGCAAGAAAGCTAAGAAGAAAGTGCAACAAAAAGACGAAGAAGGCATTGTTGTTACTTCATTAAAGCTATCCATACGATGTGGGAATCGAGGTCTTTGTTATACTAATAACGATAATAAGTCGGAGTCCAGTTGGAGTCGATTATTTTTCATTCCACTCCGACACCCTTGTTATACTATCGATCCAGAAATAATCTGCAGCAAGCTTCTAGGTTTTTCGGCGTTGAATTTCCAGATTTTTTTCAGATTTCCAAATTTGCAGAAATTTTATATTGGTATTATAAAATTTCTGTCGTGTGGCGTGTGGTTTAGATGCCTGCCACATGATGTAGTGTGTGGTTGTATGTGGCATAATGTGTGGCTGCCGGTCGTGTGGTCAGTGGTTATGTGTTGTTAAGGAGGCTAATGCCTTCATGGTTCGTAAAAATTTTGTCATGAATTCCTTGTTAATTTGTAGACATTGAGATGGTATAATTTTATGCTATTAATTCGTTGTGAAATGTTTTTGTATCAGCTAGATGTTTGTGTTGTATTATTGCTGTCGGCAATTTGTTGATGTAATGTTGCTAATGTCTTTTCATTAGCTTATGTGGTTGTTACTGTGATGTGATGTGCCTGGTATGTTAGTTGCTGTGTTATTGGTTTTTATTTGTAATGTTGAGAAATTGATGCCTTCTTGAGATGTTGTCGGTGTGTTGATGTGTGCTTCATTGTTTTGTTGATGTTGCGATCTATTTGTGTGGCATTATGCATTACTGCAATATGCGGCGTAAACATGGGATTCTGATGATGATGAAGCTACTGTTGATACTACTGCTACTACTGCTGCTACTGCTGCTGCTGTTGAAGTAACATGACATGCTGATATAAGTCATCATCAATTATGACCAACGATCAAAAAGAGCAACAATTGTTGAAGTTGTCGTCCAATACAACAATATAAATCCATGACATCAGTTAAATGTTCTTCATGGTATTTGTAAAATAATACCGTTCTGTATTTTCGGGTATGTATTTATATACATGGTTTATATACTTTCATTAATTTTATGTACTGTAGGAAACTACAAAAAAGTATGCATGCATACATATATGTGTGTATGTTTATGTATGTATGTATTATTATTATTATTATTATAAGAAAACTTGTATAGCGACTTTTATAGAACTACCCAAAGTCGCTATCCAACATAACCAAAAAAAATTTTTGTCCATTTAAGTAATCAAACAAAAGCATAAATATTTTGAAAATAAACATAAGTATACATTGTAAAAAGAATTAAAACAAAACAGATAAATCATTTAAATTCATGCACAGATGCACACATACTCTCGACCATACCCAATCACTCAAAGTAATGTAACAACCATATAAGAACCAAACAGCAACCATTTTAAACCAAATCATAGATACATTCATCCACACTTTATCCACACCAATCACACACAATTACGCTAAAAAGATGCACGATAACATATAATTCAGAACAACCATCAGATAAATACTCAACCACCAGCACAATAATTATAAATCGATTCAAATATTTGAAACACACGAAACACACACATCTCCTCACATCCAAAACACATTCAACGTAAGCACATCCCATCATAAAACACCCACATACATTACGTACTCGACAACTCAATTATATAATTAAAACGTAAATAAAAAAAACAGCATAAAACAAATGAATGTTCCGTTATCGATAAGCTACATTCATAAACAACAAAAGCAACATGCAACATACTATTCACAACTTCAATTGTGTGTTTTCAATTCTCTCCTAAACTGCAACAGTGACATCCCTGGTCGACGAATGACGCATGGAAGACTGTTCCATATTTTCGTACCACATACAGCAAAGTTACGAGACCCAATCTTCAATTTTGACACCCGATCTGTCAAGTTATTCTGATCGTTTGATCTCAAGACAAAATTTTGAGCAGTCATATCTTTGAGTGTAAACATCTCCGTCAGATATCGTGGTGCCAAACCATTTAAACACTTGAACATTAATAAGCAAATTTTAAAAACAATCCTCTTTTCAATTACCAACCAGTGCAAATCCTTAATCAATGGAGTCACGTGATCATACTTTCGTCCACCCATTACTACTTTAGCTGCTCTATTCTGTACAGATTGCAACAGTGCAATTTCATTCGCTGAAACACCATACAGTAGGCTGTTGCAGTAGTCCAAACGTGAGTGGACAAATGAATGAACTAATGCCATCAAAGCGGGCTTGCTGACGAATCTCTTAATGCGCTGCAACTGACGTAGATGAAAACAACATGACTTTACGACACCCCGTATATGATCCTTCATGGTCAGATTAGCATCAAGTGTGAAGCCCAGAATTGTGGATGATCTTTCAAATTTAACAATGACATTTCTAATGCATCTCGATGTATTTCTGATGTCTGCTGCCATGTACCAATTGGCACTAACTTGGTTTTATCTTTGTTCAATTTTATTCCATTTTGTGACATCCAAATATTTACTGCAGCCAACGCATCTTTCAGTCCTTCAGCTAAATCATCAAACTTTTCAACAGGAGCACATGACACTAATTGAATATCATCTGCATACGCATAACACTCCATCTTATAATTCTCCATCATGTCAAACACATCAGCAGTATACAAGAAGAAGAGAAATGGCCCCAACACCGATCCCTGAGGGACGCCAGTTAACATTTTTTGTTCATCCGAATATTCATTACCAAATAATATCCGCTGTGATCTGTCATTTAAGTACGACTTGAAAAATCTTAGCACAGTGCCTGAAATTCCATAGCTTGTTGACATTCTTTGAACAAGTATATTGGGATCCACACAATCAAAGGCAGCACTCATATCAAGTAAAGCTAACAATGTCACTTGCTTTGAATCTGATGCCTGAAATAACGTTGCCAACAGCTTTAACAGTGCCGTTTCCGTAGAGTGGAATCTTCTGTACCCCGACTGAAAGCACGGAAGAAGATTATTTTCATCCAAGTATTGCAGAAGCTGTCTTGTAACCACCCTTTCAACAATCTTTGCTATAAACAACAAATTTGACACAGGACGAAAACTCTTCAACTCATTTGCATCGGACGATGGTTGCTTCAATAGCGGTGCAACAATTGCTTTTTTAAA